CAATGTGAATAAATCCACTTTCGTCAACATTAAGCGGTCTGTTTGAATATCTGGGCTACGTATTCCTCCCATCTAGATATTTCGTAATGTTATATGTTTTCTTGTTTGTTTTCGCACATCATTATGCCTATTGAGCTCACAACCTATTCAGGCGCGTTTATCAAACGTTTATAACCTTTCGCTGCACGGGTTACAAAAAGACACAATCAGCGACATCATGGTAGCCGGCAATATGGATTGAAACGGATGAACATTATTCAGATGTTGATAATTGAATTACTAACATCTAACTGGCCACCACTCAATATTTATCGTCAGAATCGATCAAGATAGGAGAAAATGAAACTTGTTGGAATACTTTATGCTGAGAATTCTATATTGTACCAAAACATAATGTTGAATAAAGTTTATAATAATAATAATAAAATTCTAGAAAACAGTCAATTCGTAGTACTTGTTTATTTCTTCCTGGATTACCGCTGAAATATAGCTTTCTTTGGTGAGAGAATAGAATGAATAAGCCACTTTTAGACCATCGGCAAAAAAGAAAGGTTTACCATACTGAACGAGGGAACACACGTCATTGGTGAAAATCGGATAGTGTAATGGACCAATCACACTTCCTTGTATAACTCCACTGGTTACATTCACAGGCTTAGAGTGACAAGATACAAAGTGGACGATTTGCTACGTTCAGCTAAAAAAGATAAGAGGGGATTCCTTATGCCGAATGAAGAAAGTTTCAGAAGAATTTTGTGTGAGACACTGTCTAAAGCCGTACAAAATCGAAGTACAGAATTACCAGTGACTGACCAAAATATCTTTTCCCTGGGTTATTTGATAAAAACGTTGCAGGTACGATGTGAAAAATGAGTAGTCATTCGAAAACGAGGTCCTGATACCGAAGACGAGATTCTTTGTTCAGACTTGCGATCAAGCAGTTATCTACATTTGCGTGTACGAGGTTGAAATCCCTGACTATTTACAAGAATCACCATTGATATTATGTTATCAGCACCAATCGAGATTATCTGACTTCCGCAGTCTTGAGATAGATCTCGTTCGTAACGAGCTTCTTCGAGGATCTTCGGAGCGTCCACGATTATGATGAATAATAAGAAACCTGGTCAGAGGATGACAGAGTTTTGTGACGTCATTTTGTGTTGTTTGAGGCTTTTCCCTAACCGTACAGACCTCGGCACTGGGAGTTGTCTTGATTTTCAGGGTTCCATAGTCAGATGCGGCCAGTTCGTCCACAGCGTTATTTTGAAATGAGACAAGCATTGCCTGCAACTGCTTAGGAAGGCTCAAACAAAACGAGCTGTCCAAATAGGCATTGTCAAAGGTCCGTTGACCAATGACTTTTTGCATAGCTAGCAAAACTTCTGTTGTGCTGCCATATTGCACCTCGATAACGTGGAAAAGTTGGTCTAAATTTTGTCGATCAGTTTGGCCCCACGTTTAAGATTAGCCTTCTCCAAGGTATCTCAACTTTCCGAAATATCGCTTTTGGGTAGCAGAACCGGACTTCTATGTTATCGGGCTAAAACAGCATTAGCTGAACTAAGGGAGGAGAAAGAGTCTTAATCTTAACTAGCTTAGGAGTCTGTTCTGTCACGATGAAAAAAATCGAAAATAAAAAGAATATTGCTATCTATAGAAACAAAAGTCAAAAAAATTAAATATAATATCCGAACAAGGAACAGACTCACAGTTTCCGTATTAATGTGCCAGATCACGTCGAGCTTATAACTAAAGAAGACACAAGCTTTCGAAGTTTGAAAACGCCTTTACACGTAAAACCCATAAAATCGAAGTATGTCAACCCAGTCAAATCAGACGTCAGAATTGAGGAGGTTTGGATATATATTAAAAATGCTATCGCTATTTCTGGAAGCGTTTATTCTAAGTTGGCTGACAGTTGCGAGAGTTGCGTGACACAGACTGTCCATTCGTGATCAGATGCGAATGCATGACTATATGCCTTTAGTCGGATGTGACTTGTAAAATTAATGAGATCAGAATCAGTGTTAAAGACTTACGGAAATATTTATTTTAAGGATTTATTCACCGTTTCAAGTGTCCTCTTTATACTTCTTTATACGAAAAGGAACAGAATTAATGTATGAGTGCTTGAGAAACTACCGGGTTTCTTCTGAAAATGTCTACTGGGGATTAGCCTGTAGTTTTTCAGACTATACAGAAGTATTTCCTAGAGTTCTAGCCAGACGTCGTGATCCATGGAGTTGAACCATACTAATCAGCAGCCACATATCACTTGTAACAATGAATAGTCAGCACTGACTGGAACCTTGAAGCTGTGATAGACCAACAATATACGAACTCAAAAACAGTAAGAGTTATTGAATTCAAACGGTAATGTTGAAATATATTAGTTTAACGTTATAAACACAATAAAAATTAAGGACGTTACTTAGTTTAGCTGGTTGGTGAGTGTTCAGGTTGAGTTTTGTACCAGAATCCACAATTATAGATGACTGAGAGTTCCAGTGAGATTGTTGTCTTTCCAGTGTTATAGTCAAGCGTAGAATATAATATAAACTTGGCTGAAGTCTATTAATGTAGACAGTAGATGAATTAGAGTTCAGTTATCACAATCACAAGCAATGTAGAACAAGAGGTGTGTGTATTTGTTAGTAGATAACAGTATCATGCTATGAGTGTAACACGACGGAATTGTGTTCAAGGTCATAAACTTAACACGCATAACCGTCTAGTGGTAAATGTACGAACTGTGGAAAATTAACCAAATAAATACAAGTAACATCAAAAACTATTTACAAAATAAGTTGGCCATGCATATCTCTACAAAGTCCTAAAACCTTGGTTTTTATGCTTGGTGAAGTGAGTGATGAACACTGTAGCAGTATTTATTGATTTCTAGAGGTGCACTAGTCGATGTTTGTCCGTAGGAATTCAAATTTTCGGAATCACTATCATCAGAGAGTAGAAATTATGTCCGCGGACCAACTTGTTTTAGTGTGCCTCAAACTTGTGAGTGAGCTACTAAGACTTGTGTTTGAACTTCTCTGTCTCATTTTCATACCTCACATTCCATCATTTTGAATCGATGTTATCCAAAAAAAACAATAATTGACAAGGTCGGAATTGTTGGTTGTGGCAAAAACCGTCATTTTGTAGGAGTAAAGAGTGAAAATAGAAAAGTTAAGTCACATATGCCTCGGATCAACACAAAATGATGACTAGAGATACTTCGATCAGAAATGTTGGACCACTGTTCAGAATCAAAAAGGGCTGGTTTTCATTAAGATAATAGACATTGAAACTGACGCTTCAAGTAACGTACTATTACAAGCGGGTTATTTAGTTCGCTCAGTGCTCTCGTCGGTTAGGGTTGGTGTGTCCCATATTTTCCACTGTTTCCAGACTAAGGCTTGTTATCTATTTGCTTAAACTGAGATTTTACAAATGCAAGCAGAGTGTAGACATACAATCACCTCTCTCTTGTTCTTACCCAACAACTGATTTAGATAAGATTTCCCATTGTCATCACTGTTCAACTTTACCATCGATGTCTTTTTGTAAACAGATTTAAAAGATGTGTGTGGTGGTAGTGTGGGTCTGTTTTCTGGGGAACGATTTTCCAACCTTGAGTTGTCTTACTCTGTGATGATTACTAAAGCTACGGAAATCGCAATAAGTCACTTGAAAATTGGTGTTCATAAGTACTTTGCACCTGTACAATACTGGTAGTAGTCGGTAACCACATGCACTTTTTTGTAGTAAATCATTAGTAGTCAAGAAGTTGGTGTGTGTGTGTAGTCTTGCAGATACTAGTAGTGGCGGGACATGTAAGATCAGTCTAGGTTTGCTGCAAGTTATTGCTTCTTGTACTAGTATGGGTCATGTTAACGTTGTTGTAATATTAGTCTCTGTATAACGTCAGTTATGCGGTGCATCGCTGATTTGAACGTGTTCTGCGAATGTCATCTAAGAAGCTTCCCTACCACTCATTGTTTACCGACGTTGAGGAAATAAACCGGTAGTCAATTTATCACTGCGCCTTCGTATAAACAAAAGTTGTATTGGACTAGGACCTGTTGGTCCATCACGATTTCCGAGGTAGGATCCTAAAGGGAGTGCAACTCAGTGGCCTGAAGCGTTATCAGATGTGGTTAAAAATAAGAGCCACTGATTATTCGGCTGCAGTTTTCTATTACATTTTTCATAAAAGTGTAATCAACTTCCATAATTTAAATGCTTTCGTGAATATTTCTTTAACTGAGCTGTATTTCTTGCTGAATGATATTGCTCATTTGTTTATAGATTGTACTGACCCTCCCCAATTTGTATTTTCACTATATGTAGTGTGCAATTTTCGACACGATTTTACTCGAATAAATGTGCTTTAAATACAATTACGCTATGTTCTCGAAGTTTAACTCCAAGTCGCTATTTTCCAGTTTCCCGTGGCCAGTGAAGTATTTAAAATGCAACTTTTTCATTTTGGACCATATTTCTTATCTCCAGTACTTCTGATTACCACTGCTACCGCATTATTTCGTTCTTTTTTGGTGTTCATCTTGTTATTTTCGTCTAATGCTAATCCGCTACGGGGACTTCAGCTATCACACATCCTAATCACTCTTTACTTTAACGATGAATGACATTTTCTTACGTATTTATGACGAATAGTATACAGCTTAAACTGTTATGAAATCATCTTAAGATTTCTTTCATCATATTTCTTATAACAGGCAAGTTGGGTCATCTAAGTTGTGCCTCGACATGTATTAGATAAATCTAAGTTATCCCATTCTGCTTGATTTTATTAGCTCATGAAATTAACCTCATTATTAGTGTTCAATTTGTCTGCGTCAAATTTCCATTCGGCATTCACTGAATATTGTAATTATCTAGAGATGTTGCTTAAAGTTACATAATTGTTAATACCATACCACATATACTGTTTGTGTAGAACTGGATATGAATACTGGAAGCATTTATTTGACAAAGTAATGGTCAAACAAATAATTTTCTTATTATTCTCACTTTTTATTCAAGAAAAAAAAGGGATTACCGTTCTTGTCTTATATTTATCAAGGCTGGAACCTGAAATATCTTCAGCTTCAAATGCGTTTGAAATATCTCCAGTTCAACATGAAACTAGAGATTCAACTGACCATTTACCTCTTATTGTTGAGCAACAGCAGTTGGATACTTTGGATTTTGTTGATTCCTCGGTTACCGAATCTACAAAAGATTCAATGAAAGAGGTTACAAATCCAGATTTTCATGATGAAAGTAGGTAACCATCTGTATATTTTGTCGAAAAGTTGCGTATTATCAACTAATGTTCATTGTTTATCTAATTCCATCTGTCTTCGGTCTGAATTTTTCAGTTGTTTTAATAACTTGATATTGTGACTAACTTTACTGCGTATTTGACAGAGGTAGTCTTCAATATACTTGAACTTATACTGTGTCTCCAAGAAAATTTAATGATCTAGGGTTCGATATTGCTCAATCATTCAATCATAGGTAAAGCAGAACCTGGCACAAATCTGCATTTATTCAAGCTGACATAGCACATCAGCGCAGAGATGAAATTATCATAACAAATGCTAGAGTAATATAAATAAAAACATTATCAGTGGTGACAGAAGAGATTAGGCATAGGCAATATAATTCAAGAGAAAATAATCGGTTCGCGGAATCAAAGTTATCAGATGATTTTCAAACTGAAGATTTAAGAGAATACACAGTGAACGCATCTAGGCTATTTCGAAGAATTCTGAATCATGTCAAATGTCTCCAACCATTGGCTACGATAATCATGTGGATTTCGAGTCAGTCAGCTACAACGTGCCTGGTCTTACGACTGACGAAATGAATCCTTATTGTTTTTTGTTTGCTTTATTTAAATTAATCAGTAGGGAAAATTATATGAGAGTTTAACCAGTGTAGTAAAATATGTTAACTCACCAATGAAGTTAAGGTTTATATTCTACGTTATAAACTATACTTAGTAAGGTAACAGTTAATATCAATACTTGACTGATTAAATCTGAGTAAGCTAGCTATTCGAATCCTATAATTTATTAAATAGAAGTAACTTCATACAATTAGTTCGTTTGCTAAACTTTTGTAAAATAAGAACAACTAACATTTGGATAAGGTGAATTCAGTTTATTTTGTGTGCTCTTAATCTCACACACACTGATTTATATAAATAAATAAAAGGTTTTACAAATGTAATCCTATAAATGATATCTGCCGCTTTTCAGTTGAACATAGATTACCGTGTGGCCGTATAAAATCTTTGAAAGCCAGGTTGGAGAAGTTAGTGTCAGACAGAAACCATCTTTCACTAATAACTTTTATTGGTGTTTGTAAGTTATGGCTACACTATATTTTATAAGTTTAATTATAGGTTCAATTTAAGGAATCACCTGAATTCTTGTACGTCTCCATTATATCTTTGGCAGTAAATGTATTTGTTGATTTACTATAACCTTTGAAATTTGTAGACAAATTTCATGAATAAAGACTCGATATGCGCAGGTGTTAGCCGATCTTTTTAATATAGGAATAAAGGTTCTTGAACAATTTTTTGTTTGTTTCCATAGTTTTTAATATACGTGTTTACTTCTGACTAAATCCAGTATTCATAACTGAGAAATAGATTAACGAATAATCGTAAAATCCCACGAAATCGGTATTAGATTGGTCCAGAAGTTTGACAGCTGGCTAAAATGAACTTAGTCATTTTTAATCCTTAGCATTCCGTTGTTCTTCTACATACCTACGGAAGAACACATCTGAAAATTGCATCATGGATAAATAAGTGTAGAAGCTATAAGTTTTGACATTCAACTGCTAAGTATTTTAGAGTCAATCATTCACTGTCTTATTTCTTTTGGCAAGTGTTTGAAGATACTATCAAATGATACCGTTTTTGTTCTTCTAAATGTACGTGTTGTCCTATTACTTTACTTAGGCCTGTTACCCCTCCATCCAACTCTGTCCTGGGCAATCCTTTCCATTTGCTATTCATCCTTTTTATGCCTACTTCCCATTCCTGACGCAATGTGTTCTTTGGCCTTCCGCTTTTTCGTTTCCCTTCAGGATTCCAAGTTAGCGCTTACCTCGTGTCGCTGTTTGATGATTTTTTCAATGTGTGTTCTATCCACTTCCAACGTATTTTCCTAACTTCCTATTCAGTCAGAAGCTGGTCTTTTTTCTCTCACACAGTGGGTTATTGCTGATGGTATCTGGCCAACGGACATTGGGTATCTTACATAGACAATTGTTTATAAAGGCTTGTACCTTTTTGATTGTGGTTGTAGTAATTCTCCAAGCTTGAGCTCCATACAGCAGAACTGTCTTGACATTCGTATTGAAGATTCTCACTTTGATGTTGACTGACCGTTGTTTCGAGTCCCATATGTTCTTCAACTGTAGGAATGCGGGCATTGCTTTGCCAATCTTCGTCTTAACGTATGCATATGATCCTCCTTGCTCATCGATTATGCTTCTAGGGAACGTGAAGGATTCCACATCTTCCACAGCTCCTCCATCAAGTGTGGTTAAAATAGTGTTCTCTGTATTGCATTCGATGATCTTACTTTTCCCTTGTCTATGTTGAAGCCTACTGATGCAGAGACTGCTGCTACACTGTTTGTCTTGACCTGTATTTGTCGATGTGTATGGGATAGAAGGGTCAGGTCATCTACGAAAGTTCGAATCTTGTAATTGATTCCGAATTGTCCATTGTATTCCATGTTTCCTCTCAGATGTCAAGGTCTTCACAATCTAGTCGACCACTAGAGGATGGAGGAAGGGGAAGAGCAAACAGCCTTGTCTGACTCTGGTCCTTACTTGGAGTGCATCAGTCAGCTGTCCTCTATGCAGTCCATCGTATGAATTCCGGATGATTTCTTCGATCGTTGGTGGAGTGATATCTTTAAGAAGGTCTGTAGGTGATGCTTCGATATCCTGTGGATTCAATGACCTGGTCTATTTAAGAGTTCCTCAAATGTTTGACTCACCTGTTCCTCCATCCCTGAATGTCAGTGATCGGGCTTGCCTTCCTTGTCCTTGACCGATCTCTCTGGTTTACTATATTTCTCTGTTCATTTCTTCTTTGTGTCATGTAGCTGTCTCATATTTCCTTCTCTTGAAGCTTTTTTGTTGTTGTTAGGTCTTCCACATATTTCTGCTTGTCGACTCTAATGCTCCTGTTCACTTGCTTGTTTGCTTATGTATATTCAGCATGTGGCTTGACTGTTGTTAATTACTGTCTTCTTGTTCTTTCTTTCTTGAATCTTGTCCAGGGTTTCGATAGAGATCCATTCATTATGATGATGCTTCTTTCGGTCTAGTACCCCCTGACACCTTGAAGTTAATGCTTCTTTTATTCCTTTCCAGTTGTCCTCCATTGTAGTTTCTTCTTTCCGTAGAGTATGCAAAGCTTGGAACCTGTTGTTGAGTTATCATGAATTCGTTAAGTTTGTTAGTATCTCGTAGGAGGGTTTAATTTGTTTAATCTGGTTAGCGTTTTTTAGCAACGTTATATTCTTCGGGATGGGGCCAATGATGCACATGGACTCCAGTATCCTGCGGGAACAAACGGCGTATGAACCAATTGTTGGTCACCGGCTTCCATGAGACTGCATCACCTTACGTTGCTCCACTGCTTTGTGGATCAGACCCTCAAGTAGAAGGCTCAGGGTGTGGCCCCCTAAGAAAACCACCTGCCTCGGTTTGGGCACCCGGGCAGTACCAGGGCCCTCACACATATCGAACGAGATTTGTGTGGCACATATGTATTTGGTGCCTCTTTGTACCAATATCTATGTGTTGAAATAAATAAATAATCGTGATGGGGTTGTTGATTTCATGCCAAACCCTCCTCCCTTACCCGGGCTTTAGACCGGAAGTAGCCCTAGGACAGCTACAGATGGAGTTATATTGTCATATAATTGAACGTTAATAGAAAATTGCAATTAAAGTTAACATATTTATTTGAACACATAAATGTTGGTACAAGGGGGCACCAGATATTTATGCGCAAAACAATGTGAATGGAGAGACAAAAAAAGAAGAAGAGGAACAATAATGACCAGATTAGTGTAAGAAAGTGTAATAATAATAATAATAGGGGATACGGAAAGGTACAACCAGAAAGAATTCTTTCAGTTAAGGAAGACAACCATTTTTTACGAAGAAAGTAAAAGAAGTTTACAGCAGGATCGCCACTGGCTTCTATTCCGAGCTATATCTGATAACGTCTCTAGCCACTGTGTTGCACCATCTCTCGGACCCCAACCAAGGAGTCGTGAAAGACCAGCAGAAGCCAGTCCCGTGAAGCTTTCTTTCATACCCCGACACCATGTCATACACTGACCAACTCTCTGCTTGTTCCAACTAGTCCCAGAGTCGGCAAGTAATGCACGACGTGGGATTCTCTGGGACAACATTCGTAGAATATGTCCAAGCCACCGAAGTCGATGTTTCAGGATGATGACACCAACTGAATTATCGTCTCTGTGCCCAAACACATGATGCTGAACCTCTGCATTATTACTGAATTGGTGTTGACACTGGATGTCAGCAATCCTTCGGAGACAACGATGATCAAACACAGAGAGTCGTGTAACACCCTCAACTCGGAGAGGCCAGGTATCACAAGCATAGAGCAAAACTGCTCTCACCGACGCGTTTTAGATCCGACCTTTTACAGTCAGACTGACGTGACGAAGGCGCCAAAGATGGCCAAGATTGGCATAAGCCGCTCTAGCTTTCACTATACGTGCATTTATCTCATCACTAACGCCACCACCAGCACTTACGCAGCTACCCAGATACACGAACTTCTCGACTACGTCTATCTGCTCACCATCCAGGGTGAGTACAGGATTTGAATCCTGCCAGTCCTGTAGAAGTACTTTGCACTTCGAAGGTGCAAAGCACATACCATACCTACGGATATTGATTGCCAACTGATTAAGTGCGGATTGCATGGCTTGGGCATTATCACACAGTAAGACAATATCATCCGCATACTCAAGGTCGAGAAGTCTTTCTCCGGGCAACCGATCCACGCTACCATAAATTACATCCATCAGAGCTGCTTCCAGAATGTCATCGATGGCAAAGTTGAAGAGGAATGGTGAGATTGGGCAACCCTGTCTAACCCCACTGCTTGAATGGAACAATGAAGAGAGATGGTTGTACGCCCTCACTCTGTCTGAGTTGTTTGTATATAGAGCTTTAAGATGTTAATAAACTTCTCAGGAACACCCTTCTTCAATAGACAGTCCCTCAGAACAGTTCTGTCCAACGAATCGAAGGCAGCTCTGATGTCAAGAAACACTACGATTGTTGGCCTGTGATAAGTATGACGGTGTTCTAGCATTTGGCGGAGGGTGAAGATATGATCATTACATCCTCGATCAGAACGAAACCCAGCCTGCTCCTCGAGAGTCAATCTTCTCGGGTTTCGAACAACCTGCAAAGTATGACAGAAGTCAATAATTTGGAAGCAATTGGATGTAGACTTATCCCCTGATATTTGTTACAGAAACGACGTCAACCGTTTTTAAAGATAGGGACAACTATCGACTCATTCCATGAAGTTGGAACACTCTCTAGCTCCCAAACCTTTGTAAACAACGTTGTCAGTTATTTAACCAGAAAGTCACCACCATCTTTAAAAAGAGTCTGAGGTAAATCAACTGAGCCCGGTGATTTGTAGCGCTTCAAGAGTTGGAGTTCCTTGCGGACTTTCACCTCATTTGGTGGATCAGTCGTCACCGGTCATGGAGGTCAGAACAGTCTGATAGATGTTGCCGGAGCAGCAGGTCAGTTGAACTGCCCTTCGAAGAATTCTGCCCATCGTCCAAGACGTCGATAGATGTTAGTGACTGGCATCTCGTCATCCTCGCAGATCGTTTCGCTCACACCAGACTTCTTGCTGCCAGTGGCTCGGATGAGTTGGAAGAGCTTCCGGTAGTTACCTGATGCAGCTGCTGTTTCCAGCTCATTAATACGCTCCAAACACCAAACTTTTCGGTCCTTACGCAAGCTTTGTCTGATTTCATTACGTAACAGCCTTCGTTTGTGGTCAAACTCACGGTCACTCGGAGTAGACCGACGGGCTTCAACGAGTTGTAAGTAACCAGATGAAACCCAGTGCTTATAAGCGGGACGTTTCGCAAAGCCGCAAGCGGCTTTACTCGCCATTTTGATGGCGTCGTGAAATCGCTACCAACTTGCTGACATCAATCCTTTGATGGCGGTCACTTCGTTGGCCACTGAGAAGTAAGGTAAGATTGGCGCAAACAAGGGCATGATCAAAGCCCAAATAGGTACTCCAAAAGCAGTGGCAGTGTTGTACACAACCATGCCAGCGGTAGCTGGTCGCGATGTGATCAATCTGAGTCCAGGCTTGAAATGCAGATGGAGGTCACCAGGTGGCACATCGGTGATGACTGTGCCGAAAGTTAGTGCTAGCCAGAAACGGGTCGTGGTATGTGCACAGTTGCAGTAGACGGTCCCCGTTATCTGTCCTGCGGCCAATAAATCCCCATCGACCGACTAAACGATTCGCTTCTGTGCCTAGACGCCCGACCTGAGCATTCAAGTCTCCAGCTAGTACTACAATTTCTGTCGAACGCTCTTAGTGTAACACCAACGCCACCAAGACCAGACGAAGATGCCACACTGTCCCTGGATAAACGCACGTAAAACAAGCTTTCCGAAGCCACATGGAGAGCGAATTTCTAGTACTTGACCATAGTCTTGAATACGTGTATCGGATAGCCATCAGACGTCGGTATTAATACTTTCCAAAGACATAGTCAGCCCTATCTGTTGTCCGACCTGCATAAGCGTGCGAACGTTGAAGGATGTCAGTTTGAATGTTGCATGTTGTTTCAGAAAAACGGTTTTAGTATTCGTATTCGGTGGTGGCATTCAATTTTCGACCAATCAGTGACTGGACAGAACAGAGTTTAACCATAGGCGTTCTGCTGTATAAGTTGAAAAATAAGGATACACAAAGTGGGAATAAAAGAGAGTGTATGAGTGACGTAGTATATGAAAAAATAAAAATGAATGTTATCAAGTGGATATGAGTTTCCTGAGTTTTATTTCGAAGGACAGTGTTTCTAGTAAATATAATCTTTTCATTTTATTTGTGTGTGGACTGTGATACTGCCAGATGCCCAAACCGAAGCATGTGGTTTATTAGGGGACCATACCCCGAGCCTTTGACCTAAAGGTCTGACCCACAAGGCAGTGGAGCATCGTGAGGAGATGCGGTCCCATGGTAGCCTGTGACCACCAATAAGTTCATACGCCATTTGTTCCCTCAGGATACTGTAGCCCATGTGGACCTTTGTTTTGATTTCAGGGTTTCCCAACTCCTAGGTGGACTCTCAGTGTCAACCAACCCGGGTGAAGCGCCAGACATTCTCTTTTTGTCCTCAATTTCGTAAACAACACCCTCACCACGAAAAGTCAATGAGTAGGACCTCCCTGGCAGAGGGTGTATATGCGTGAGAGCGTTTCGAGAGAGAGGGAAGACCACCCCTACTCTCGGTCTTACTAGGGCATTTGAGGTCGACGTAACTTATGGAGACTTGCTTATCTAAGTTATATTCTTTGAGTTGGTTTTTTGTTTTATATGTGGTCATTTAATTAATGGGCAGGTGGAAAAGTCTGTATAGTAATATCTGTTAATCGTATCCTATTCTAAGCTCAAAGATCGTCTCCTTTAAACGGGAGTTGGATAAACACCTTATTTACAATAATATTGACTTGTTGTGACACCTTTAATTTTTTTATAACAGTGCATTATTTCTCACAGCTTTTGTTTAATCACCATAACACTTTCATTGTTCATTTTTAGTTGAGTTCTAATTTCTAATTACTATTATCAGTCTTATTATTTTAATATTATTGAACAAAATATATATGATCTATCACTCTGGTCATTCAAATGATTATGTTGTCGAGAGTATTTTAACTGTAAAGCTAAGTGAAAGTGATTAAGAGCAGACAAAATGTAATAAGTCCGCTTCATCCTCCACAGTATTTTTTGTACTTGATTAACAATAATTGACAGTGAATTCCCAGAACTAACTGATCGTAGTTAGATTTCATTTAAATGTTTATTTTGTTTAAACTTCACTCATTCTCTGAAGAAGTGGCTTACACTGAGTCACGAAATGTCAGAAAATCTCATTTTTCTACTCATTGGAATATTACAAATATATATTAACTTATTTATTCACTTAACCAGTTTATGGAATTGTGTTCTGTTGTATACTTTGGGCAACGTCGAAGTATTACATATTTTCGTTTCGTAAAACTGGGCATTTTTATCAAAATATCTCTGAATGTAAAAGTACTAATAAACACTAGATTTAAACTGATTTCTAATCAGTCACTGGTTCAACTTTACATGTTAGAGAAGTAGATAATCAATAGTAGAAAATAGGAACACTTTATGTCAATAAGTAGGCACTCCTAAGATCATCTTTGATTAGCATGAGATTTCTATTTTTATTCGGTTAGGAATATGGTTCTAGATAACGATGGCAAATCGATTGAAGTATTAAATCTTCACCAACTAAGGTGGTTGGAACGTGTTATGTATACTTGTCCACTTCCTTCTTCGAGGTGCGATGATGGCTGGTGTAGTAGTAGGTACGACGAAAGCTAGGGACGGATAAACCAAGACGACACCAATCTATTAATAATTATAGTAAGCTATGTTAATATGTTGGGGTCCGCATGATTATCATAACCAATAGTTGGAGACTATCAACGACATGGCTCGAAATCGTTCACAGTAGCACAGGTCCATTCGCTCTTTCTCTTCCATTAAATCCTAAGCTTCCAAAATTCCCATATTTTTTGATGACCTATATTCTCAAATTGTATCGTCGATGATTAATCCATTCTATTTCCACTGATGCTCTTACTACCTCTACAACTCTAGGACACTGACAGTTTTATCTTGCCGTGTTAATGCGGTATGACAACTTGAAATGATGTATACACGAACTAGATTCTATGCCACTTCTGACTAATTGACCTTTCTTGAATACTTTGAGGAAATTATTGTAAACTTGTAAAATAGAAATAAACCCATAAATTAATTAAGTTCAGTAAGGTATCTGTAATATATGAAATCAAAATTTACATCACTGTTATTACCTTTTTATTACTATATGTCGTAGATCCCAAGTCTTTTAATCACCTTATTGTTTTATTAATTTGTACAATACCTCAACTCCATCAAGTAGATATCCCAAAACGAATTTGTTTAAGAACTTTATTCTTCTAAGATATGTCAGTGTTAGCATTGTGTTGATATTCTTAACTTCAAAAGTTGAATCTTAAAATTTTAACTCATCAAAATATATACTTGAGAATTTATAATAGCCTAAGCATTTCCCTAATATAGATACTTTTACGAATAAGATTTCAGCAAGTTTATATCATTTATTCGTTCTATGTAGCAAATCAACTATACTTTTTTTGAGACAATTGGGTTTTGTTATAGTTTATATTTGTTTATTATCCCTCATTAATAGTACCGGAATCACTTGTGTACATTAAACCAGAAGATGAAGTGTTTCCTTCACATGTACCATACATTATTGTTGGTGCTGGAGCGGCTGGAATGTCAGCGGCCCGTTCGATACGTGCCTCAGACCCAACATCTAGAATTTTATTAATTTCTGGCGGTGCAATAGCTGAACCAGGTATTAAAGAAACTTCATTCGTTGAACCACCACCTTACTTGAGACCACCTTTAAGTAAAGAATTATGGAATCGAAGTCTGGATAAAGAGAAAAAGTTACTTCGAAGCGATGGAGATATTCGTCGACATTCATGGTTATATTATGAACCAGATAGCTTCTTTTTAAAACCGGAAGAGTAAGTTTTCATATACATAGTTGGATTCTTTGATGAAGTTAAAAACTTTACTATGGTTTAAGGACTATTTGCGATTTTTTCTAGAGTTAAATTGTATCTGAGAATAATTATTTTGGTTATACATTTCTAATAATCAACTAACGAATTCATTTTTTGTTGTTTATTTCTTAATATGTTTTCAGTTTAAGTTCTGTCCAATATGGTGGAGTAGCATTAATGCGAGGTGATCCTGTCGTTCGTCTGGATCCTGATAAACATACCATTTTTCTGGCATCTGGTAGACAAATAACCTATGATCGTTGTCTTTTAGCTACAGGTGGTTCGCCTAGACGGTATAAACACTTGGAAACGTGTAGTCAAACTGGTGTAAATCTAATTGACACTGGACATGTTTCCTATTTTCGTAATATAGCAGATTACAGGTAGGTGTGCTCTGTAATATGTATAAGTTTGTTGTGTTTCTAATTTTTGGGTAACTCAATGAACATATTAATCATATTATGTGTAGCTGCACATGCATAAAGAGGAGAAATTGTGATTTGTTAATTAGGATGTCCGAACATGTACCTAAGTGGTTGCAAACACAAAATCAAAAGACCCAATAAGAGTAAATGATAGGCATCCATCATCCTCTATTGCCAGACACGTAGTTGAAACAGGTCATAGGATTGAACTTAACATGGCTTTTGTGGTGTTGTAAAAGGGTGTATACCAAGGTTTGTTGAAGCCTTAGCCATACGAAAGTTCAAACATCCTTTATGTATCCAAAAGCGGTTTTCTCTCATCTTAAACCTATCCTGGCAATGTTAGCTTATTATCCAGTGTGATTAGGCTTCAAATTGTTTTCCGTATTATTCTCTTTCTTATCTTTGTCTCCGCTTACCCCACATTTCTAGTCTAGTTGACATTTTATTTTTATATAGAAATGTTCTTAACAAGTATATGTGATCAAATTGTTTGAAATGCATTGCGCTAATATAATCTTCATCTTATTATTCTATCCAGATTAGTGTTGAATTTATTGTTATTTTGTACATATTTTTATTTCATCATGTATATGACAGTTGATTCATGACAATATTTTCTAGACATCTTAGAGATCTTGCTGATAAACTTCGTCGAACTAGTGGTGGCAGGATTGCTGTTATTGGTGGTGGTTTTCTCGGAAGTGAATTATCTGTTAGTTTATTAAAACAACCGAAATCTACAGATAGCAAGAATGATGATTCCGATTCAAAAACTCAATCAAAACTATCTATAATGCATGCATTTCGTGAAACAGTTCCAATGGGCAGTGTTTTGCCACCATGTTTAGCTTCAGCTGTTGGACGTTTTGAATCAAGTAAAGGTATTGAATTGTGGAGTTCATCAGATGTTGTCAGCTTATCACTCATTCCTAATACAAATGTGAATACCAGTACTCGTGCTACTACTACTACTACAAGTGTAAAAGAATCGCAAAAGCTTTTACCATTGGAAAATGTGATAGCCAGTACTAATACTGAACGTGTTCGCCTTCGTATTAGACGTACAATATCTGGCATTGAAAGAGTAGAAGAAGTAGACGTTGATCATGTAGTTTGTGCTGTAAGTTTCTTCGTTTTTATCATTCAATATAATTTATAATAAATGTCTATTGAAGAAGATAGAAGGAAGATTTTACGATTTTTTATTTCAAGTGCTTGGTCAAACCTCTATATCATCCTGATAATTTGTTATTTTCCAATATGTTGTAAAATTACCTAAGTCTATTCTTGGCTATCTGGCATTTTCTATTGAAACATAGATTATCATATTGAATTCAAATGGGCTCACTAAATTCGAGGTTGTTGGGTCAGTCAGTAAGCTACAAAGTAGGCCCAGGTACTTATATGCATCGGTTGAAGTTGCCACGCCTTATTAGCACAATAAGATGAACACCGAATTCATAGTAGTTACTTCAATGGTAGTTATATATAAAAGAAAAATTGAGTATGAGGATATGATACAGAGAGAAAGATTCACTTCATAGAAAGAACAGTATAAAGCAATTTTAGACTCGTGGTTTTAGGTAAGACAAATAGTGTATACACCTGTACCATTGTGATCGATTCTGAGCCATGTCACACAGAGTCTCCAACCATCGGTTACGATAGACACGCGGACCCCAACCGAATAGTCTGCATCTATTAAAATGCCTCAGACCAGGAGTTGGTGACTACATAAACTGACGCCACATTTTGTTTTGGCCCCCCGTATCTTTGTTCTAAGCATTCCCAACACTAGCCAACATTGCACGTCGTGGTAATCGGTGTTCAGGCATACACAACACGTGGACCAACCATCTCAGTCGATGAAGATTCACAATCTCATCAACTGATTTACCATCATTCCCTAATTCCCAGCGTCTAACCTCACTATTACTTACCCGGTGATCCCAGCAGATGCCAGCAATATTTTTAAGGTATATGTGGTCAAATACTTGTAGCTTACGAGTGTCTTCAACGCTTAATGACCATGTTTCGCAGCCTTAAAGTAAAACAGAACTAACTGTCGCGCAGTATACTCATCCTTTTATTGATAGACGGACATCTCGCCTTCGCCATAGGCGACGTAAGTTGGCAAAAACCAAACGAGCTTTCTGAGTCCGTTAAGAGATTTCGCCAGACACCAACCAGTTAGGGATGATCAGACTTCCAAGACAAGCGAAGTTGTCGACTCGTTCGACTACTTCACTTCTTATCCTTAATTCAGGCGTTGACACAGACCGGTCCTGAAGCAACAACTTGCATTTAGATGAGTAGGAACGCATCCCAAACATCCTGGCATTCTTGCTTAGTACAACCAAAAGACTGCATTTTATTAACGTCTTCACCAAACAGGACAATGTCATCTGTGTATTCAAAGTCGATAATTGGACCTCTTGGTAGGAGATCAGTTCCTGATAATCCAGTCGGCGAGAAAGTTATTTCCATCAGTACATCTATGATGAAGTTGAACAAAAATGGAAATAGTGAACAGCCTTGCCGGACACCACTTGTGGTTGTAAAATCAGATGACAGTTAGCCATAATCTCTGACTCGACTGGTTGTTATTGAGTAAAGAGCCTTCACATGGTTTATGTACTCCTGAGCTACACCTTTCAATGACAGACACTGCCACGGAAACTCTCGGTCAATATAGTCAAATGTTGCTTTTAAGTGAAGACCACCATTGTCGGACGCCGATAAGCATGCCTGTGTTCTGAAATCTGACGAACGGTGAATGTGGTCGATACAGCCACGATCAGATCTGAAGCCAGCCCGATTTTCTCGTGTTTGCAGTTCATGAGTCTTTGTTAGGCGCTCGATAATCATCGTGTTCAGAGCCGGATGTGATGAGTTTACGAGAACCTATCAGTGCAACAGACCTTGAAGAAATCCATTGGTTTTTTGTAACCTCATGGTTTAAACCACTAATAGGTGTCACTGCTGTTTCCACAACTGATTGTATAGCTTTCCAAGCAACATCTGGGTCAGCCTCGTTTTCAGAACCACATAGGAGGAATAATAGCAATTGAAGAGGGAAACTGATTATGAATGCTGTTAGAGTTATGGGGGCGGTTATCACTTCCCGGTCGCCAACACCGTGGAAGTGTTCTTCTGAAGGTACCTGAAAACAACATACGGTCTGGGGTGGGTTTTAGTGACATGAGAACGTTACCTCAGTGCCCGAGTGACAACTGCTCGAGGCGGGTCACACATGAGCTTTTTGTGAGTAAATTTCGTGTTAGCTCTGTACTTGTTGGGACCTTACCACCGGAGACGGAAATTTGTAAGATAAGACGAAGTGTGCATTTCTATGGTCGAGCCTTTCTAGCCCCATCCTTTCTTTGTTAGAAGGCAGCATCGCTGTTATGCTGGTTATCTGAAGAAAACACCTTACTGCTATCACACTTCTGTACAGCCAACAGTACGATTCCGCCTTGGGTTTGCTGCTTTTAGTCTTACGGCTCTTCAACCGACCTGTCTGGTATGGTAAGACCTTGAGAAACGATTGTTTCAGACAGTATAGCTCGATTGGTTCATTACGGTAGGAAAGCACAACTACCTCGTCAAGGTAGCAGAAACAGTCGGGGAAGTTGTTGCGTACAGATTTATGTATAGCGCATCGTTCATAAAATATTAAAAATGCAGTTGGTTGATCACAAGGTATTGATTAATGTTATGTTTTGTTTAATCCCTTGATACTGATGTAATTCTGTCAGTGAAGTTGCAATATGACTATTAACCTAAGTGACTTCATATCGCGTGTACTATGTTGAGATATTAATTGATTTCAGGTTGTCGATCAGAAGCTGATGTAATCTCGTGCTAGCTAGTATTCCTTAACTAAGGTTACCTGCAATTATGAAGGAACTAATGTTTCTTGTAGGATCTGAATCTTCGTCACTCAATTTTTCCGTCTGAGACGTTACCACTGAGCTTCTAAACCTAACTGTTGATCTTCTAAGATGTATCAGCTATCTATCACCTTCTATGCGTTGGTAGCTGATTGCGAAGCGACCAAGTTAATCATAAACCTTTAGACAAAGATGGCTAATCGGTTGATAAAGTAATAGGTCTTTGTCGAATCATGTAACTGGGACATCTGTTACGTATCTTAATCACTGCCTATCTCCGCGGACGGTTTTAACTGGTGTAGGAAAATAGGTTGGAGTAAATAAAGAGGTGACCAAACCAAGATGTGGTATCATTTCCTGTGGTTGATGTTCATGCCATCAGTGGTTGAAGACACAAAGAGAAATCGTTCACAGTTGTCCAGGTGCATTCACTCTATATCTACCCCTAGATCTTGTCTTCTAGTTTTCTTCCCTAAATTATATTGTGTTTATTCTTTCTTACTTTCACTACCACCACCATTACTTTGACTCCTTCGTTACTCATTACGTTAATTTCATCTCGTGCCAGTGTAGTATCATGCCAACTTGGTTTAATGTATATTTGTCACATTCCATACTGTATGTGAATGACTTTCAGGAAATTATTTTGTACTATTAACGAATAGTTTTTCTTACTATTCTACTTTGCTAATATTACATTCTATAATCTATAAACTGTAATTTTTCTCTGAAGATTTCAAATTATTGAGATTTCATAAATTATACAGAAGACTTGTGATCAGATTGTGATTAATAATCTAAGCACATCTCCCATTCTATTGTATTACAAATGAGCTATACTTAATGAACGCAAATGCATGTGGAATGCGAAAGCAATTCGCCCTAGTCGGTTATGAAATTACAAATAATTTACACAAGAAGTTTCTTACAAAACAGGAATATTTACAATATTTGCATAATTTTAATGAAATTCTTCTCAATCTTGAGAATTAAAAAAAGACCATCATTTGAATTTGACCAGTATTTATTTTTGAAAATTCACTTGATTCTTTCTGACACTAATTCTCTAAAGTCGTATGTTCCCATTGGTTGTCTAATTATGGACTGATATATATTCTTATTATATAACTATGGTATGCATATTCATACTCAATTTATTATCAGCTTCCATGTGACTTATTGACTACTATTATACGATTTAGTATTCTCAAGTTATTTCATTTCACATTTTTCTCGATAGATTGGTATAGAACCGAACACGGAGCTTTCTTCAGATGCATCCCTTGAAGTAGATCCTAATAATGGTGGATTTCTAGTGAATGCCGAATTGGAAGCAAGACAAGGTGTCTATGTGGCTGGCGATGCTGCATCTTATTGGGACCCAGTTGTTGGTTGCCGACGACGTGTTGAGCATCTAAATTTCGCTGAAGAAGCTGGATCATTAGCTGGAAAAAATATGGTTGCCTCATTATTATCTGGAAATAATAAATTTTCGTCTAGAACGTCGTCATCATCATACTACCAACACCAATCATCTCTATGGTCTACACTTGGTCCGGAAATATCGTGGGATGCAGTCGGATTGATTGATTCACGCCTACTTTTAACACGTGCTTTCTTTGCCTCTTCCGCTACTACCGGTGATGATGATAATGATATTGAACATAAGTCATCTAAAGAGGAGAATTCGACGACTCGATCTTTTTCCCATATACCTGATTCTAGTATAGGTAGACTTACCAAAGGTGTTGTTTTCTATCTTACCCCAAAAGATAAAAGATTAGTTGGTATTCTGCTATGGAACATGCCTGATGAAATTTATACAGATGCAAATTATCCGGCACCTAGTCGACTTAATCTAGCCCGTAGTTTATTAGCTCAAAAACTTATCATTGATCTTGACGACTCTACAGAGAACAACTTGCAAAACTCAACAGGTAATAACTTACGTCAACTAGCCAGTCAATTTGATGTTTATGGAGAGATTGCCGAGGATTATGCACATTTACAGGAATATATAAAAAGGAAGAAATTAGATGAAGATAATAATAATATCGCTAATAATAATGATAATTCAACATTCAGTTCTGTAGATAATAAACCTCCCAATATGTAGTATTTTCAAAGAAAATATCAACTACAGTAACTAATCATGTGCTCATTAGCGTTGTGGCATTTAAAAACGAGCAACCAATGAAAAGAAAACTCATTGTTTTGTTTTTGTTACATATAATTTCTTACGAATTTTTTAAATTTCAAGTTTTTTCGCTTATTGTTTATCAAATAGAAACTGATTAGATTGACATTATCTAATTTTCTTTTCTGTTTGATTGCTGTTGTTGTTATGTCTTGTAGAGTAGAACACTTTGCCGATATAATGTTTTGATCTGTCGAATATTCCAAAGAATATGTCTCACTGATTAAAACAACTGAGTAGAAGAAATTACTCGCCTTTTCACATTATATGTTACATCGTAGCCTTACTGGATTATTTCACAGTCGATTTTAAGATAGGTCACGTGACGATGGCATACGAAAACATGCCTAATGAATACATACAGAATGTACTAATGGATTTACCAATACTATGTTTGATACTTATAGCTCAGGAAATGTGATTATTCTGTGGTCCGTTAAGTCTACTACCAAACGTCTGAATAGTGACCAGTGAAAAATTTGACTACTACTGTTAGTCAGTTAGAGGTTTTTAAGTGGATGTTAGTTTCTGGTTGCTCACAAAGTGCAGTAGTATTTTAACATGATATACTTGAGAAGGCACCTGCGAGTGACCCTAGACTCCGAGGGAAAGCTATTTATTCTCGACTATCCATGACTTATTCCTCAATAGTTTTCGTTTATTAGTTCTTTACGTTTCCCAGTTCACCTTCGAGATCGGGAATTCGTGTGGGATAGAAAAGCGTACTGCTCTTATTAACAACCTTCTCTAAGTTCTATTTGTCGGCATCGTTTGGGAGGTTTTTTCGACGGAAAACATTCCAGTACAGTCGTTTGTACAGCTTTGTTCTCGAAACTTTAGTTAACTGCATACTTCTATTATTGTAGTTATATTGATCCAGTGGTATTTTCCATTTTCTTCAATTATCTAAGATTGAATAACTTCCAGTACCTTATCACTCAGCTTAGTAGTTTATTATATTCCTTAACAGATCAAATTCGGTTATTGCTAAGTCCCTGAAGCTTATTAAAACCTTGTTGTTTAGTTGATTTTATGCAGCGTGTTTCAAATTAGAGAACGCGAGTGATGCAACTACTAAAAACACTGACGTTCACGATATTTTAGGGCTAAATAATTAGTGTAGTTCAACCAAGTTGATCTAGGCGTGAATTAGCTATCATTATGTACTGTATCCAAAAAAGTCTGATACTCAATGATATTGTGATACCTTCACTGAACCCTTACATTACAATAATGTATGAAGTTTTCGGTAGTCGTTCTTGGTCTAATGATTTTCGTTGATGTGATGTTCGAATTTCTAAGTTACAGTTCTTCCGTTTCACTTTCATAATGATGTGAATGTACTTAATTTTTGTCTTATTACGTATTATCGGTGTTGTGACTTTATGAGCCGCTTGTTATCACGTAATCTATTTGCCAATCAAAATACGACTTATTCGCTCATATACTGTACTAAACCAGTGACGTTCGACCGGTCTGATCAGCCTAGCGTCCTATTAGTCCGTTGCTCGCCTAGTCCGTCCAGCTGAGTCCAGAATGTCAACAGACTCCACTATGCGAGTTATTTATTTCGGACATACTGGGTTTATATACCAAACAAACAGACCGCAACGCAGCATAAAATAGGAAATAACATTCATACACAATAAAGCCAAAAAGTGGCTGTGAATGTGGGAGGCAGTAGTCAATAAACTGAACATGGCTTAAGAACAGTAAATCGTACAATAATAATATATAGGTTGAAATAAAGCTTATAACAAGGGGAATATAGATATACATAATCTAGTTACTGAATATTTATACCTTAAGAATATATAAATAATATTAATCAATTAATAAGTCTCAGACGTTACTCGTAATCTTCACTAGGATATAACAATCGGTCTGTCTCATGTTTACTTATGACATCTTTCTTCATTTTAATCTCTGTATTTCAAGACTACTTAACCAAGTGCTTATTTCTGTTGATGTGAATAGAGAAATAAAGAAGCCATTACAAACAGCGGAAGCTATTTTTGAGAATGTTATTTCACTTGATTTTTTTACACTAATCTGAATCGGGAATAAATCGAGTAATGTTACAGTCGACTCTTCTCACTCACGCGAGCTTGCCAATCAGTCAAGTGATAGTGTGGTGTATGTTATTTTTGTCGATATATGTAGTATATGATACCAGTCAGAAATGAAATGCCTGGCAGCAGAAGGTTAGAAAGATCGGATCGAAGAGCACGAGATTAAAGGGACTGTTATGGCAATGAAGTTTGAAACAATTGATGGAGGATTTGAAAATGAATTATTAGACGTATGGTTTTCACATTTTGCCAAAGAACTCTGTATTTTTGTGTTAAAATACACTGGTTGTCCCTGTCTGTGTTCCTGTTTATTACAATAGCATAGTTTACGTCTCTCTGCCTCAAGATTACATTATTTAGCTTATCGTGTTAGGGCTTTAACATAGATCGAGAAAAGTTCTTTTCTGTATATTATTTCGGCAAGCATATCAAAGACGTAACATCTACTAAATTCGAAAATTCCACATCCACATGTACTTGAGCTTCAAAGCCTTAATTGTTTTTATAAGAAAATAAAGTATATTGTTTTCTTTTTGTCTTATTATGTATTAGAATTTCCCGATGAGGTTTCAGTGCACTCACTTGTAAAGCACTTTTGATTTCAGAGTTAAACTTGATGAACTTATTCTAAGTATTTACCTGCAATATATGGTCTCATATCATGTTCCTTCGTAAAATAATGTTGTTTTATCTAGTCTCTATACGGGGAGATTTTTTCATTTTAAAATATAGTTTTCACTTATTAAATAAGCACTTTTTTCGTACCAACATATTTTTGTAAATTTTCAGTTTCATCATTCCAAGAGATAACTGTTGAAGATTGAAATACATCTGTAGACGATTCGGGACTTTCAAACATTGTTTACTGGAGTAATTTTAAAAAAAAACAAGTAAATATTTTTATGGCTTACTATGGAATTTTTTTGAAATTGACTGGTTATGTTTTATTATCGCTTTATTGAGTTGTATGAATTAGGATAATTTTTATAAATTTACAGTTTACAAATGTTAATATCTGCATATATGTGATCTATTTTAGCGTACATAAATACTTATTATTGAATGTATATTTACACTAACTTACTGGTATCGCATATAGTACGTAACATTTATTTTTAATTAGCAGTACGCTTTTACATTGTCGTCTGAATAATATTTATATTGATAAAGAACAATTTCAAGGTTGAAACGTGATTCAAATCCACAACTTGCCTGATAATTTGTACCATGTTTCAACCATCAATTGTAATACACAGTTGTTTACTAGTTGTTGCCACTCGCTTTATAAATGGCTTGTTTTTAACTTCTAATTGACCAACTAATTAGAGCATGATGATTTTGCTAACAGCAGTATTACTAATTACCCTCTCTTCACTCGCTGTCCACACTAAGTATGCTGATAAGGATCGGTTATTGCGACTTCCTGCAGCCTAACCTTCCTAACCAAAACACAAGAAACAGAACTCCGCTAATTAACTGTATATATTTTATAACTCAAAACTCGCTTGATGGTATACATCAATTAACAGGACTAAAACGTAGCATGATTAATAATAAATCACAATTTAAAACTGAATTGGTCATTTTCAGTACAAACTGAGTAACAGATCCATAAATAAGTGACTGTGATCTATGAATAATAAAATATATGTCGAGTCAAAGCTAACAAATAAAATAATTTAAAAATACCACATGCAAAATGTTCGATGAACCCATGATAATACGACAATGGTACAACAATAGACCTCAAAATTACAAACTTTTCACTTATAGGTCTTTAACAATACACCTACTTAGTAATAATATTATCGGTTTGTTTTCCGTATTTTTGTATATTGTTGTGTAGTAAAATTTCATTTTAAATTTTCAATGCACATTGTAATCTCTAATGGACGGTTATTTTAATTTCGAGTAAAACGCTGCAATGTTTGAAATGTGTGAAGCAATTAGTGGTATTAGATTAAAGTACAATCTACTTGTATTTTACTCCGCATAGAATTCATTCTCCGAAATATCTTGCAGTATATTATATCAAATACATGTTCGTGTAACTTACATTCCATATCAGATATATATATATATATATATATATATATATATATATATATATATATATATATATATATATATATATATATATATATATGATTGTTAGCGATATATCAAGTCTGATATTTAGTCTTTTTTTTCTCGTGATTCTTTTTTATAGCTCCTATGTCTGACCTACAATCAGAAGTTTCGAAAAATTTAATTGACTCTCCATCACCTCTTAGCCTAAAGGTTGGTCGACTTTTTTCCTAGTGTGTGTCCTAATCATTACTGTACGTCAGAAATTTAAAGGACTAAGTTATGCGTGTTATTTATATGCACGTATAATTCAAATAATTTGAGATTCTATGGAGTTGTCTAACTTGATATGTATTGCTTCATCATGAGGAAAACAGTATCATCCAAATAAAAACTTAAAAAATGAAGCACTGACGGCTCATCAGAAAGTGTTTTTTCTTTACATTTTCATATCGTCTGTCAGTGATTTCATTTTCCTTGAGTCGATTAATGATATTTTATTTTACGTAGGAATATTAGTACGGTTACTTTTCGATGCTAACGACGTGTGGAACTGTGAACTCATGAGATAGTATAATAATGGTAAAACGTGCTTTGATATGAAGGTATTTATTGAATGAAACAAAGTATGTTTATGTATGATCATAGTACTAATGGTTATATATATATATATATATATATATATATATATATATATATATATATATATATATATATATATATTCTCGAACCCCTATCATTCAGTTACAAATGTAAGTACAACGTGTTTGTTCATAATGGCATATCCCCATATTAAAAATGCATAACCTCTGTATTTATTTCTCCGTTTTTCGAACTATAATACTACAAAACTTAAGAATTGTAATAATTTTATTGCTTGTTTGGAAATTATCTGAAATTATTCAGATGTGTAAATTATAATTTATATTTCTATCACTCCAAACTTTCAGATTAATCATTGGTTCGCAGTTTCAGCATGGAAATGGTGTACTAACGATGATGACTGCGGTATTTGTCGGAACGCTTTTGAAACATGTTGTGCAGATTGTAAACTCCCAGGTGACGATTGTCCTCTTGTTTGGGGTCAATGTAATCATTGTTTCCATATGCATTGCATTATAAAGTGGTTAAATAGTCAGCAAATGGCTCAACATTGTCCTTTATGTAGACAAGATTGGCGGTTCCGAGAATAAGCATCTCAATTTCTGTGATTTTCTGATTTTTGTTAAAAAATTTTAAATATATTAATTAAAGAGCATTCTTTATCTGATTCTAGATTAAAATATAGTGTTTGTGACGAATTCAGTAGCGTTTATTAGCCGACTATTTTTGTGCATACTATAATTGACGCTGAAAAATCATCTTTAGGTACAGTTATTTGTACAAAGCGTAGTTCAGTAAAATTCCAATTTCTAAGGTTATTCAAATTCAATACTTAAAAATGTCCTACCTCCGGATTCCAGTGAGCTTTGGTTTACATTCAAAATGATGGCCTGAAGATTTTACCTACCTCTATCAGATAATACATGATACTTTGTATTTTTTGTTATGTTCTCTTTTGCAGCGTAATGTAGTACAAATAATCTAAATATCATATTTTTCATCAAACGTCTATTCCTTATAAGTGAATTTTACTGACACTCATATATAAATTAAGCTATTAGGTTATTTTTTTGTTATAAGTTTGAGTCTCAGAGATCATTTCACAAATTTCTGACAATAATAATTTATTTGCTTTGTTAACGGAATATAAATCTAATCAGCTCGGTATGTTTTTTTATATCCTTTCAAAAAACTTATTCAAATAAGTCTTAGTCGCCTAATTAATTGAAATTCCGTCGAATAACTATTATTCAAGCATTTTTGTCAGGACACTAATATTGATAATAAACGTTCGTTAGTAAAGTGGTAGCGGAGTTTTCTAAGTTTCATGGCATTCAGCTGATGATCCGAATATCCATGTTAAGTAAATTTACTTAGATTAGTGCAAAAGGATTTCGTTTATTTTTTCCCGTCGTTTGAATTTCATATAACTAGTATTATTTTTGATACATTAGATAATTCGTAGCATCTGAACATTGATATCTCACTACCGGGTTTAGTCAAAGGAGTACTGTATTTTCGTATTTTGAGATGGTCATAAAATATTTGTTCTACAAAATTCGTTATTCGTGTTTGAAAGTTTTATAGCTGAGTTTGTTGACTATTTGAAGATGGTGAAATCTAGCCCTTCATCTAACTTTGTATATATGAGCTTGCATGTGACATGGAAATTATATCCGAAGAAGATTGAATTATGGGTAACTTTTTGGAACTACTTATGGACTGTTATCATATATATTCCTATTATTTTAAGCTTCCATGTGACCTATTAACTACTACTATACGATTTACTATTCTCAAGTTATTCGCGATCGACTAGTTTACAGTCTTTCACACTCACAGCCACTTTTAATTTGATGTTGTATAATTATTATTTTTAATTTGATGGTGTGATGTGGTCTGGTCTACTTTTGTGTAAATCAAGTATGTCTGAAATATACGATTCATACAGGGTAAAGTGAAATTGTATTCTGGACTCAACGGGCAGGGCAAAGCAAGGTGAGAGGAACCAGTAAGGATCCTAAGTTGACTCTAGACTGCTCGTTTTGGTTAACACGGCATTGGTTTGACACAGTGCCTATGTTATATAAGTCAATGTACTGATTGTCGATCTTATTACATGGTGTTCGACGGAGCATCGAGCACAACAGTTGTCGACGACGTGGAAAATCTTCAACCTTCACAGAGAGTCAAGGTCAGCCAGTAGTCAGATGAGCGTGAGTCTAATTATTTGACCAATCAATATGCAGATTTGTTGCCCATGTCCTTGCACGTTACTGCCTACCAATCAGTCATTCAGGTTTTTTATTACTGTCCTGAATAGTGCAGGAATGAAAAATAAATATATCGATTATTATGGAGCAAATGCAATTATTACTTCAGCAACTTCATGGTCAATTTTTTAACTTCTCAGGAACAATTGCTTACATCACATATCAATATTTTCAATCCAGATGCAATGCGCTTTAGAATATAAAGAAATAAAATTATTACTTAATTCAGCCCCAGAATTTGTTTTTATGGCAGAAAATAGTCACACTCTTGACTCATATTTTGCCAGAATCGATGATCATTTTCGAATAGAATACGACTATATAGAGTGAGCAAAGAAAGTACGATTGTTGACACGATAAAATGGTCCACAAGAACGCTGAACACAAAAATTCTATCCTTCCATAACCCCCAAGGAAATCTAGTTTTGATGAAACCGGTGGTATTTTAAAAAGTTATTTTGTGAACAAGCTTTGCTATTCTATATTCGTTAGTGGATAATATGATATTAAGTCTCGATGTTGCAGCCTATTTGGATGTTATTATTGTTGTAGGTTCTACCAAAGAATAAATAATGTCTCGTTTAAATAAATTATTTAAAAGAATATCAAAGTCTGGTTTCCAGCTGTGAAAATCTAAAAGTGGACTACTTCTTGAATCTCTTTAGTATGTTGAATTTATATTTGATATACATGATCGTTGACCGATCCGGATATTATATATGCCATTAAATTAATGACTCTATCGACTTTCCTAATGGCATTAGGATTATTTTTTGGCTTGATTGGATATTAAAGTGTATATATTCTGGCCAGGTAGACACCATGTTACGAGAGAACTGAAGTCATTCGGCTGATTAAAACTTCTATATTCATTATTACTAATTTCACTGTCTTTTTTATGTGTTTGTTATTCTCAACTTCTGAACTTGTTAGTTTATATCATTATTTTCGGAGATTTTGGTTTGGTATTTGGGAGTTTTTGCTTCGGGACCCTACAAATTTAAAGCTTTTTTCATCATTGTTAGCACGACATTTGGGTCGATTATTTGCAAATTGCGAATAAACTTTTGTACCTAAATTTGGGCTTGGTTCTATTTTTCGTTTGGATTCGTAAGTTGTAAATGGGTCGATATACCGTACATTAATGAGGAAAGCAAACGAAAACTTGGGCGCAACAACTACGCCATCCGTTAAATCCGCTTTTAACAGCTAATCGTTAAAGTGGTTATACGAATGTTAAAACTCCTTTAATAAAATCAAGGAAAGCTGATTCTCTGATTTATTATTTAATTCCTAGCCCGGGACGGGAACTAATTTTTGCTACTGGTGCTTCTTATCATGGTAATGGCGTTGTAATCAACCTTTGTTTTGCTTATTGTAAGGAAAACCTATCAATGAACCATGCATGTCAACGATGATAAAAGTAAGGAATAAAACAATGGAAAATATTAGTCAGCCATTTACGTTAATCATGAGAACTGATTAGGTCAGTATAATCTCACTCTGGAACAAGAATGAAGAACGTAGGTTTGGATTAAGTAAATGTCCAGAGTAGATGTAGACACTGTACAAATATCTTAGGATTGTAGCGGTAAATAAATCCCCGAAATAAATAGCTCTGTGAGTTTTCGACATCGGATGCTGACCATATGTTTTAGTGGACTCATCTAGCTGAAGGCGCTCGGTCATGCATCCGCACCAGATCACGTGTGGTAACGCTGTGCTCAACATCTACCGCAATCGCTAGCCAGATTAGATCAGAGATTTTCCGATATATTGGTTATCGATAAATACACTCTTCTGATCCCCTCGACCCTGTCTTTTGATTTCTCTCGGTGGGAACAAAGTATATTAGAAGGTGTTACTGGTAGAAGCGTTGCCAAACACTGAATACCTGTATCATCATCATTTGTGAGGCCGACGTGATCTGGTACACTGTGGTGTTTGAATTGACTGATGATACTTTTGTACATATGGATGGCTCGATTTCGAATTCCAAATACAATACATTCGGTTGTGCCTGTGTCTTCTTAATTCAATCGCGTTATTTCTTGGACACTTAGTTCGTGCTATAATTCAAATAATTCGAAACATTATACTGGCGTCGCGATTGAGCCTGAAATGGAAAAGTTAGACATTCATTCAACTTCTGAAGCTTTTGAGGATTATTTCGAAATCTGGGTCATGACCAAGGAAGATGATGAGGATGTTAATATTGTGGCATATTTCCTCACATTCATCGGTAAAGAAGCATACATTTTATTAAGAACTCTGGCTATGCCGGAAAAACCCATTTCGCTTCCTTATACAACTCTCAAGGCATTACTACTAGACCATGTCAGGTATGCAAATTTTGATTGCAATAAAGAAGGGGAATTTCCTAAAATGATTTATCAGGACATTAAAAGTTCTGCTACATCACGTTATCCTAATCCAGTGCATATTCAAGTATATGCAAATAATTCATTGCGGAGTTGCAGTGCGATTCACGAAGATGGGCACAAATTTGGTCAGTGTTTGTTCTGTGGAAAGTTCCATGCTTTTAATTCATGTAAATTTCGTAATTCTAAATTCTTTAAATGTGATGATTTTGGATATATTCAGTCAGTCTGAAATATTAATGTTCATGTTATTGCAACTAATATTAAGTCTTGTAATTCTGATTCTACTGAGTCCAGTATTTATAATGATGATTTATCTTTATCAGCGATTGCAATAGACAGTGTAGAGTCAAAAAGCAGTTCAGAGTTAAATCAAATTCAGAATTCTTGCGAAACAACAGTTTCTAACCAATCGATTTAACAGAATTCTCGTGCTATTGTACCAGGTATGGCTTTTCCTAATGATTCACATATTTCTGATGAAATTTCTTACAAATCTGAGGATATGTTAAATGAACCTATTCATTATCAAAAACCTGAGGCAGTCATGATAGATGCTAATTTTTCTAATGATCCATTGCTCTGCAATGACATTCTTAGTCAATTTCATGAAAATATTTCAGCAGAATCAAATCCTGATGTCATATGTATTACCTATCCTCATAATGCATTTGCTCCTTGTGAAAAACTTGTTCAATGCAAAGCACGAATACGAAATGAGCTCGGTTTTGATTACAATTCTGATGATTTCATATCAACTGTTGTTCATCCTTATCACAAAAACACTTCTAATGTTTACTCTAATCAATGTGAGAAATATGTTTTAAATGAAGCCACATTATTTATAACTTGCGAATATAAAGACCCAACATTATTTCGTGGGGGGGGATAGCGTTGAGAAATCTATGGTTCCAATTGGAGATATGAATCATTTCAGTACAAAACCGATATGTTGATTGTATACAATTCCAGACACTACAAAGTTTTCATCCAGTACAATG